TGTGCAGTAATATGTTTTGTTTGTCTAGCATGTTCATATTATCACTGAATACAAAAGTTATACATTTTCTGTTTTCTTGCTTTAAGTCAAATGAGAAAATCAATACCATTCTTAAACATCTTTTTTGTCCAGCTGTTTTTTCTCAAAATATCAAACTACCCTTTTGAAAAAGAAGAATCAAGTCATATTATTGATTATCTAATGGTTTGAATGTATTCAGGGTCTCTTAGTTTGTTGTGTAGATATACAATATTATAATTATCAGTCTTGAATTACCTTGTTTTTGTTCAGATTTCGACACAATCTTCAAATTCATCACTTGTTCTCATTACAAAAACATATGGAAGTTTCCCGTTATATCAAAATACAGCTTGTCTTGTTATAATGAGGCACGTTTCTTAATTCAGGGCGCCCTGGTGGCTGTTTCTGATCGACATCCGCCTGGGGAACTCTGTCTACTTCAACAATAATAGACCTCAAATGACTCATAACAAACGATCATTTCTTTATAAAGTTAACAAGGCTCATTGTTAATATTTATTAAGACAAACGTTACTTCGATGAAGTCATGTGTTGTTCTCATAAGAAATATGTAATCTTTGGGTAGTAATAACAAGACAACAACGCTAACATATATACCATTATATAATACAAGAAAGGTCCAACATCAAGCTAGCACCTCCAGTCAGTGATAATGCACACATCTGCTCTGTCCTGTGTGTAGGAGACACATGGAGGACAGCATGCTGTCAGAGAGGATATCCTGCTATTGTGTTGACACAAGGTGGAAGTGGTGATGTGGGAGGTTGCGACGGAACAGAGGACTATCACAAAACAAGGACAGAGCCTGTTACTCCTGCTTTCAAAAGATATTGGTGCCTTTTGTTCATTCTTTATGACTATTTAAGGTTTTTGTAGTTGCTTTATGTGTTTGGTCTTCAGACAATTTGTCATTGTACTGCCAATATTTCCAGTGTATACTAACAGAGAGGACATAGTAGTGTTTACTGCGGCAGCCAACGCATTTAGTTTCTAAGCTGCCATAAAATGACTCACCACCACAAGACAAGTAATGGTTTTAGTTTGGAGGACCATGTGTATGATGCTTCATATAAATATGAAGACCAGCATGCACATTTTCATTTCCTCACCTGGCTGGGGTCAGAGTCGTTGGTCAGCTGGTCATACAGAGACTCCAGTTTATCCCAGGTATTCCCACACAGGATCAGTCTGGCACCCCCCTTATGGAAGAGATGGGCACACTCTGAATGGAAAGAAAATAACTAGTGAATAACGTAACCTTGTAAAGGATTAATAGGAGATTTGTTTTGTATACGCTTTTTTGTTAACTTGATAAGAGATCGATAAGAAGATTATATGCTAAAAAAGGCTTCAGCCAGCTGCTGAATAGCTTATGTAGAAAAAAGGAACTGCTTACTTGGCTCTGTCCAAAGAAAGAAATATGGCCTCCAGCTGCTCTGTTACACTTAATAATACATATTGTAAAGGAGAGTTAAGTGTCAGTAAGAGTTTGTATATCCTTTTATGCTTAAAAATAACTTAGATTGGATTGAAATTAAAACATTGATACCCACAGTGGGCTTAGTTTAGCATTAAGTCTGGGTGTAGGCCCAAGCAGGAAACAGCTAGCCTCTGTCCAAAGAGGAAAAAGAAAAGCTCACTTATTCAAATCTTATGTATCATGTGTTTAAAATGTACAAAAAGATAATTATTTGACGTTTGGAAAGAGCTAGCTTGGTTATTTCCCTGTGCTTTCTGTCTTACGCTAAGCTAACAGCCATCTTGCTATTGCATGATATTTAACGTACAGATATTTCAGACTGGTATTGATAGAGACTCACAGAAAAACAGCCAAAGAGGGTATTTCCTGACAGATAAAACGATTGAGTCTATAGCCACTTGTATTCATAACACAATATTCCTGAAAGTGAATAGTTCCTAAACTCCCAAGGATAAGTGTAGTGAATTTTCATGGAATTTGACTTTTACACTTCTTGCTGACAGACATTGTAAACCAAAACCTTTATGGCAATAGAAGTAAGTTAAAAAAAATGTAAAACAGTGGGGAAATGTACCAGTTCCCAGCCCGGACACAGCATCAGTGATCACCACCACTTTGTTTCGCACTATGGACTGGGACATGAAGTGTATGACCTCATTGTAGATGTAGTACACCCCCGCTGCCACGACGATCAGCAGGGGCAACACCACCACGGAGGGCAGGGCCATGTTCTGTAGGGGAGAGGACACAGGATCAGTTCTGGGAACAGCTACAGACATACTGACCTGTATCAGAAGAGCCATCAGTGTGAGCTCACAGGACACATGGGATCAGGCTAAGAGGTATAAGGAGTGGCTTGTTTGTGGTGTAAACAGACTACAGTGTCAATAACAGAAAAGTACATGCCCAACACAGCTCAGTTACCTGAATGCTAAAAAGAGATCCTCTATAATATTGTCTTCATTTATAACTCCTCTTTTGTACGTGGAATCAATTCAACAAAGTAAACCAATAAATGTTTCTGCTACAGCAAATGAGTAAGCTTGTGATGATTTTGTATCAAACAGGTTGATACAATCTCTTGTATATATTACAGTCTACAAAGATATGATGGTTATCTGTGTAAGATATTGTTCTATTTATAAAACTACTAGAGGTACATTTAAAGCAATAGTTTGATACTGTATGCGGAACTACTCTTATTTCCTTTCTTGCCTTCTACATTGGCAAGAAAGTGAATATACAAATGACAAGCTATTTCTATAAAGTGGACATTAAATAAAACGCTATATATATAGAAAACGTCATTTGTCCTGTCCATATATCTTAAGATACTTACAGACATATGTATCAGATCTATATTTCTACTGATTGTGTACCTGCACATTTTGAGAAATATCTCTCTTTTTTTGCTGAAAGTCAAAAGAGAACATCAATACCATTCGAACTGTAATCATGTCCCAAAATGTCAAATTAACCCAAAAATAACTAACAGATTAACTCATATTATGGATTATTCTATGGTTTGAATTCATGCAGAATCTCGTGGTTTGTTTTGCAGCTTCACAATATTATAATTGCCAGTGTTTAATTAAACCTGTTTGGATATCACAAATGAGCTTTGTGCAGTAATAAATGTAGCCCTTAGTTAAAAAGAAAATGTACTTTCCTGTCAGTAATTTGTCCTTCCCATAAATCTAAAGATACTAACAGATAAATATCAGATTTGTATTCCTTTCATATCTATATTTGCTTGGCTCTGACAAACTTTATTTTGTTCTTCTAGGCTACAGAGTGGCTTATAAAGTAATAATTTACTTTTGGTGGCAGACACTGACCATGTAAATTGAGTTTGAGAACAGCTACAAATATATTGTTGCTCTCTGCCGCCAAATAATTCCTTGCACTGTGACACCTCCCGGATATTGTCATATGATACCCCAAGAGGGGGCAACTGAGGAGGCTCACATTCATAAGGAAGGGATGACCTTAGTTGCCCTTAGTTGTTAGTGGACATTAGTTGTTACTTGTGAAAACACGTTCAAATAACCTTTAATCCACATTAAAACTGGTATTTATGATGGCTCCAGAGACCCACTTTCCACCTCAGCCTGCTATTTGAGCTGGCACATGATTGGATCCCACTGGATTAGTCAGTTTGTGAGTGCAAATCTACAGCAACCACGCAACAGACACACACCTGTAATCTGTGTTATTCTTGGTTCACTTACATCATGAACAGGGTGCTAATCCTTCAGAAGGACTGGCTGTTGTTTTTCCGGATTTAGTTGGGTTACAGACGTCCCTGTCCCTCTAATGTCCCTCGTCCATTCACACCGCTCTGTTCCCCTGTCCGTCCGTCCGTCCTGCTGCTGTCCACTGGAACCTACTGCTTATAATAGCCTCTGCTGCAGTCAGCCATTAATACACAGACGTATGTGGTAGCTCAGGCATGTCCCCTTGTTGCCAGCATGTAGGGATGGACGACAAGTGATAGTCTGAGTTGATTTAAGGGGCAAGTGTTTGCATATTAATGTTGCTTAAGTATACTTTCCAACCCATACATGATTTGTTAAGGCCCCTTTGTTAGGTTAGAATACAGCTTTTTATACTTTTTTATACTTATTCTAATTCATTAAATATTTATAGAAAAAATAAGTGCTGTACTTTGCAATTTTGAGGTACTTGTACTTTTCTTGGATTTTCCAATATTGCTGTATTATCATACTCAAGCACATTTAAGAGTTAAATATAGCACTTTTTTAACTTTACAGATACACATTACTGTGTAAATTAAACTACCAATATATAATATACATGCCTTGTTTTACATGCTGCTGCAACGAAAACAAATCCCAATTTGGGATCAATAAAGTGTATCTTATCTTTATTTATCTTATAAAGGTGTCAAGATGAACTTCTAACCTCAACTAAATACAACATTAAAAACCTAATTACAACACCCCATAAATAATCCAGTAATGACATAAGAATTGACATACAAAATATATTATTAACTTGGCATTATCATACAATTAAATACAAAATTGTTCATAAAATAGTGCACAGTAACACCTCCTTGACACATGATACTATATAGACATACAAGTATTAAATACCTTCAGTTTTTATGATGATCAGCCAATGTATACTTGTAAAATAGCATACTTTACGCACATTAAGCTTCTAATAGTAGTTAATTACCCTTTGAATTAATCCCTTTTTCTTGTAATGTAGTATACTTATTTAATCTCTGTAGCCTAATTTTACTTTGAAAATATGTTGTAATTTGTTGAGTATTTGAGCTACATTACTGTTATGTTTGTTTTACCTATATTAGGGAGCAGGCTATATTTATATTGTAATCTAATGCAGGTTATTTATAACAGACGGTTAAGCATTATTGTTAAAACACCATAGACTGTAGTCTCGCTGTGGGCGGCGACAGCGCACAGTTCTCGCGAGACTCCACAATAGAATTCCATGAGCTTGTGTGTGTTCTCCCCCCTCGCTCTCCTTTGGTAAAGAAGAAAATAAACCTATTGCTGCTAACAAGGCTAGTAATGGAACCAACCCTTAAATACCGCTTTAGCCCTCTGTGACTGGCCGGGAGGTGCTTCCCCTGCAAGCAGCGTCTCCACCTGGAAGAAAAGCTCTGGAACACTCTGGACTTACGGACCGTCGCCTCTTTAAAAGTCAAGTTAAATACGCCAGCCAGGAGAGGTTTTCATTAGCCTATCTGCAAGTTAGCTGACTGGGCTAGCCGTGGATGAACTTCGCATGGAGTGACTGCTGGGAGAGTAGCCTGCTGTCTGACTGCAAGCTTTCTTTTATCCTTCACATGGGAGTCTGTTGTTGGCGCTATCGCCTCGGAGCTTGAAGGCGAGAACTGTGCAATTGCTGTATGTGTGGCGTAAGCAATCACGTTATTGATTTGGAGACCCACTGGCAAGCTAACAGGATATTAGCCACCTATCTCCGCTTTGTGGTTGCAGGCCATGGACTGAGAAGCACCCATCACTGGCTGAGTGATGAGAAGGCTGGCTTGATGGCAGGCGGTGGTTATTTATTGGGAAGCAGTAATTGGATAAACAGACAAAAGAAGCGTTTGATTTGAACCCTGGACAATTCCTGTTGTGCTTTCAAAATGCATCGGAGTGCTGGAGCTCTTCCTACGCTGGGATAGAAGAGACGCACAAGAAAACAGCGGCACTAAAATACACAAAAGAGAAATTGTCCCATAAAGTTGAAATAAGAGGTGAAATATAATGTCTACCGCAAAAGAAAACCCCTGTAGGAAATTCCAGGCGAACTTCTTCAACAAAAGTAAATGTCAGAACTGCTTCAAACCACGGGAGTTACATCTGTTGACGGACCAGGACCTGACCCAGGTGAGCAGACTGTCACAATATGAATCATTATCATCACTGGGGGACAATCTTCAGATTCTTTACTTGAATAAAAGTACGAATATCACACTGTAAAAATACAGAAGTTCAAGTAAAATTATTACATCAAGAATCACACTTAAGGAAAAGCATTTAAGTATGATTAGGAACATGTACTTAACGTGTTAGGAGTAATTTTGCAAACAAATATAACCCATATTTTAAAAGCAAATCTTCTTATTTTAAGATCATAACTTTTGAATATTTTTAGAAAAAGAAAGAAAATTGCTAACAATTAATTTGTCTGTTAACCCACTCATTGTTTTAATTATCTAAATATAATGTTGGATTGTTTCTATACCAACTAATCACATTTCAAAAGTCTTTCCTAAGTATTGTGTGTGGAAATATGAATGTATAAAGTAAATTAATCTGTAGAATAATAATTGTAGTGGAGTATAAAGTACAACATTTGCCTCTAAAATGTAGTGGAGTAAAAGCATAAAGTAGTACATCAAATGTGTACTTGAGTAAATGTACTTGGTTACTTTCCACCAATGATTATTTGACTCTTGCTTTATCATTTAAAGCCCCTCCTTGGCTGCCAAAGACATCATGATTTTAAAGGACTGTTGCTGCTAAACTGGAAGTCAAAAATAAATAATAATTTGCTGGTAACTATGCAACCAGCTTGACAATCTAATACACATGTAGACTGAAGCTTGAAAACACCTTTCTTTCGTTAGTATCGATTATTATTTGTACATTTAAAAGGACCACCGTTACTAAGTTACTTAGAAAAGTTCATGGTGTCCAAACGCATTTCTTTATATGGTAAAAATCAATGTTAAAGTAGGCTAGTTGAAAGATAACATTGAGACAGTAAGGGTGTTTATTTTGGTTGAAGCCCTTTATGGTTTCTTAACATGTATCTTTCCATTTGTGGGGAAAGTGAATTCCTGTGGATTTGTCTGACTACAATTTGCCAGCAGTTTGGTCTCTGTGATTGACCCTCAGCTGTTGTTTATCTCCAGTTGTTTGTTTGGAGTGTGTACCCCATGCAGACCGGTGACCAATATGTGGAAGCTAATAGGGATCTGATTGAAGAACAACAAATATAAGTCGAGCAAAGATCAAGCCCCGTTCAGCGGAGGAAAACTGGAGACCCTATCATAAGCATGTTTTCAGGGTCCCTGTTTCGTTGTATCAGATCATAAGTTTAGTCTCTGTTGTATCCTCTAATTGATCCCAGACACGAGACCCAGATGGGACCTTGAACACGGCTCAAGAGCCAAACGGCAACGTCAGCATCCTCCTTTCCTCTGAGAAGAGGATGTGTGTGGGGGAGCACACTTCATTTCTTTTTTTCAAGGTGCTTGCTGCACTGAGTTTATTGCAGGTTAACCCTTCAGAGACTCCTGAGTCAGGATAGTCGGCTTATGGTTAGTTACATGACTTCCTATAATCTTGCTGCGACCTGGCCCACACTCTCTTCCACAGCCAGGAACCAGATAGGCTTACCCCCCTGGCCTTCTAAATAGATATTCCACCAGTCCTTGCTCGTCAGGGTTGTCGCAGTCGCCAAGAGGCAGTTCAAAATGTCGTCCGTCTGTCAGCGATCCAAAGAGCACGCAGGGAGCTCAGTTGCACCAGCAGGTTTTGTAAGGATTCTGTCTGGACAGTCCTGGAACCAGTTACGGCTGTGCACCAGGCCATTACCGGGCCAAAGCTGCGTTATGTAACGCCACATGAACAGTGTGAAACTTCTGAGCCTTGTTCAACAGGCCCATGCTAAGGGTTAGGCTTTGTCAAATGTTCCCAGTGTTCAGAAAGTGATACGGGCTGACTTCGAGGAGATAAACTCAATAACCCGGTGGATAGAAGGCTTCTGTAAAGCTGCATAATGTTGTTAAAACACCATGAATAGGTGATTTGGCTAAGTACATTTGAGCACTAGATTAAATACAAGTTTGAAGCTGCTGCTGTTCTAGCACTCTAAATGTTTTGAGCGTAATTACTTGATGGATTTCTCTTTCCTGTGTTTGTATCCTCTTGGTTGCCTGCACTTATAGGTCACTTTTGATTATAAAAACCGTCAGCCAACTAATGGGATGCTGGAGCCTTCAAACAGATAGCCCATTTGGAAAAGTTATGAAATGTAATAGAGCCGAATGTCAGAAGGATGGTAACGTCTATAAACAAACTCTTGGTTCAACACTGCTAGAATAAAAGATGGTCTGGGGGAGTATGTCCCCTTGAGTTCCAAGTCCCCAACGTCTCATACATTCTTTGAAGAAAATGATCACGCTATTCTGCAGAGGTGGTGGGAGGCTGGGCAGGGATGGAGGATGCAGGCAGGTTTTAGGTTTACATGTATGTGGGATGTGATGGAATCTCAAGGAGTGGATCAGGAGACACGAGTAGAAAAAGGAATTCGAGGGTTGGGAAATCAGAGTCGAGTTCCAAAGTGGCTGCTGCTAAGGATACACAGTTACTGTATAGCTTTAATTACAAGTACCATATGTTCCGACAGTTACTGACTGCTGTTTTCATTACTCAAACATAGCTGGCTTCAGGCCAAATAGACTATATATATGACTCTGCCCCAGACTGATAGTGTTTCTGTAAGGGCCTTTGTATTTAGGATCACTGTTGTGATAATGCAATGACTTTCACATCGGTCCTCTGTCACACCCAGATGCATTTATTTTTGACACCCACTTCCTGGTCAGCTACAATGGCCCCCGTGCTAGAATGAACATGACCATGATTACACTAATGAAAATACATAAAAAACAGATCGTCCTATTAACACTTTTTACTTACGGTACATTGAACTGGAAATAGATACTGGATAGCTTTAGATATTGCTGTCAATGCTCCCTCATTTTATATGTCACCTATAGCATCAGACAACACTAGTTGTGAATGTCATGTTTATGCTCTCAGGTGCTGGTTGGAGCTCTGCCAGGAATTACCTTTATCTTTTATTGACATTAATGAGCTGCGTTCAAATCACAATCAATTGTTTTGCAGATGTCTGGCAGCAGATATGTCAGGAGCATCCCTGTAGATAGGGATGCTCCTGACAGCCCGTCAGTATCGTCTCATGCAGCTCACTGATCCAGTAATGAGTGACCCGACAGTGAAGAATAAACATATTTATAACTAGTTTAGTTCCAGAGGTAGATCAAATAGCTAAGTGTGTTAGGTCTAACTCTTAGTGTGTGTTGCTCACCGGTCCGTCTCAGCGGGCGGAGCTGCAGGATTTCTGCTTCACACACACGTTGCATACCGCTATTTTGCTGTCTTTTTTGGACACCTTAAATTAATGGCAGACCGGTGAAGACATGTTGTCGAGCTTGTTTTGCCGCACACAGAGAAAGGGTCATGTATTTTACGTCATGCGATCGGCTCTCGCGATTAACATTTTTAGAGAGCACCGATCGATCGGCAGAGAGTGAGTATCGGCCGATATCGATCGCAGCATCCCTACCTGTAGAGTGTGTGGCTCAAATGAAACAGTATATGAATTGTACCAAAGCAGCAACACATGGCTCAATAAAGAATGTCGCAGCTTCAACATCTAAAAGAACAAAACTGTATTTGGATTGTTGCAATGCACCACACTGTTGGTAAATCAAACACATGCAAGTACCTTGTAGTGTGTGATGCAAATTGTGCCTATTGCCCTATTGTTGTAATTGTCAAACAGACACTGTGACATCTCATAGTATTAAAGGGGTAACCTAAACATTTATGATGGCTCTGTTCTTTTCAAGTATCCAGTCAATCCAAAGTCAAACTCAGAACGTACATTTGTGCTTTTCATTCTGTGGCTATCTTTAAAAAAGAAAAACACTCATTGGAGTAGAAAATAGCAAACAGGGTCACCACTCACTATAGGAACGGGGAGTAGCCTACTCGTTCTATGAATAGGAACGTTTAAGTGCCCTTTGTAGCTAGCGCACATCACATAGAGGGTGATCTGCTACGCCTTTAGCTATGGGTCAGAACATGGATGGACTACATGGCAATCATTCAGAAATCATGTTATTAAAGTAGAAAACCGTCTGATTTCTCGTACCGGTTTGTCTTACGTTTTTTATTACAACGCCACGTAATGTAAATAGTATTTTAAAATGTAAAGCATTAATGACTTTTGCAATATATATATATATATTTTTTAATCAATTAATCAGTCAATTTGAATTGATTGACAGCACTTTGAAACATCAAAAAGCCTGTTGTTAGGACAGCTTAGTAATACCATTTGTCCACATTAGTTTGGATGTGTGCAGTACAGGAAGCAGTGCACCTGCAGATTGGAAGGGTTGATGTTACTGGTAAGGGGGAGAGGGGAGGAAGTGATCAAGTGTGTTTGTCATGGTGTGAGTGTATGCAGGGCAAGAGATCAGAAGTGAAATAGTTTGGTCAACTTCTGCCAAAATACCAGATTTATTTGACTTTGTCACAAATGCAACTAAAATAGTATATATTTGTAATGGTTTCAGCTCGTCAAACTGCCTTCATAGGCCCGTCTATACAAGTTCAAACAAGGCACGTATAGCTTTATGACAGGCATGCAGTGACATGGAGCAGTTACAGGGCCGGTATAGAAAAGTAGACTTAATAATCAGATCCCTCTACCTTCCAGGAGAAAGGGGGGGGGGGGGGGGGACTGTGAGAACTGCTTTGCTAATGGTTTACTGTCATCAGTAACGGAGCGCAAGGAGCAAAACAATGGGAGTGGGCTCTTTGTTCATATGTTTCCAAGTCTTTTGATGTGCTCTGCCTCTGGTGGACTGACAAAGCTGTGTGTAGAGGTGTTGTTTATTTTGCAACTAGTCAGTCAATCAATCTTCTCTGGGTCATCGGGAAAGAAACGCACGAATGCATGTCATCATCAAACAGACACCAAAAAGCTCTGTGGTATGGCTGCACATTTGTTTGAGAACAAATCAACAGTCATATTTACATGATGTGTCTCCCTCCCCTCCCCCAGCTCACTCTCTCTCAGTTTGAATGATCAGCTAAATTGCTCTTTTTTTCTCCCCCCTCTCTTTTACAGGCTAAACCTATTTATGGTGGATGGCTGTGTTTGGCCCCTGAGGGAACTGACTTTGACAATCCCATGCAGAGATCCCGGGTAAGAGCATGCATTACAGGCCTGTGTGTTGGCTCTCTAAATGGGTACACACACCATGTAAACACATTCATGCTAATACCTCCCATTATTTACGGGAAGGGCTTTAGTAGGAGTACTAGTTGTGGGCTGAAGTTGTATTTAGTGCCCCTATGGCCCCTGCTGGAATAATGGAAAGTGAGGCTTAACTCTAAAGCCTAATTGTTTTTTGGTCTATTAAGAAAGAGCAATGTGTCTGTGCTTTTGTTACTTATAAAACCACCTACTATGGTTTCAAAATGGGATTTTCTCATAGCATGTTGTTCTCCTGACAGAAATGGCAACGGAGATTCTTTGTGCTGTACGAACATGGCTGTCTGCGCTTTGCCCTGGACGAATCGGTGAGTTATGCATCTTGAAATATGTCACTTGATCTCGTCAAGAGGTTGTCAAATCTGAGCTGAAAAAGCAAAATAAACATTTGACAAGTTAGTGTGACAAGTCCATTGTTTTTTAAAGCAAGAGGTGCTTTGGCATTAGAACACAAGTAGTTACAAGTTATTTGGCGATAAACTCATGTACGTTTACATCCAGTTTTGTTTTTTTCCTGTAGTGTGCTTCATAGGTTTCTGTGCATGCAAATGGTCTGCAAGGCCTCAATTGGACTCCTTTATTTACTTCAGTAACATTATTACATACTAACCAATCAGAGCAGAATGGGCTCTGGTTTCAGACAGAGGGTGAAAAGAGGTTCTGCAGAACAGGCATTATGAGAAAAAGAAAGAGCTTTTTGAACATTAAAGCATGGAGGCGTGTCGCAGTAAAAGCACAGCAGCATAGTGTTGTTAATAAGTACATTCCCAGAGTTAGTTACAGCCATGCTGTTGTTGTGAGGCCTCAGGAAAACATGAACCTTCACAATAAAGAACATTACTCACATATTAACTGTGTAAAGACGTCACCTCGTGGTGCCCACTGTACGCCTGTGTCTGTGGTGGCAGTGTGTCACTAGGGGAATGTGACACGGGAGACCAAACCCAAACCGGGAGATCAGGCTGTTGAGTGTAAACACTGGGGGCCACACACTGCTTGGGTTGGATACTGGTCACACTAAATAGATCCAGACTTGTTCATTTCAACATTATTTATTAAAGCGCTTCACTTCACTAGGTTGGCATTACCCATTAACACAAACAATATGAAACTTTTGGCAGAGCCTTCCATAGCAGATGCCACTTGCTCATCAGGAGCAATACACATTTGGCTATGCCATGCTACATTCTCAACGACATATCCCTGTTCATTTAAGGAGGAGAGCTAATAATGTTAGCCATTAGAAGTTAGCTGCCAGTGAGCAGAGGTTCCAAAGAGTTGCATTATGAAGTACTCAAGCTGTATTCAGTCAAAATGAGTGTTGGGGAAAGGTAAATCATCGCGTATGGTAATGTTATCATGATGTGTTTATATTTAGTCTTGTAAAATGTAGTTTTATGGGAAAAACCTGAATACCTACGGTTGTTTGAAGGATATGTTTTCCCAGCCGTATGAAAAAAAGGGAATTATGACCTGTATAACTTCCCATCAAATATCAGTTAACATGTGTATATACATAGAATTTAAACTTGATTTAGTAGTTTAGATAATTGTGGAATTTCACTGGTATTGGTATCGAATACAACATGTTTGATATTGTGACCTCCCTATGTCGGAGGGATAAAGAAGTTGATTACAAAAGGCTTATATTGTGAAATATTCAAAGGTGTGTCCTGGGAAATGCATTGAGTCAAACAGCTCCATGAATTGGTGGAAATTAGGTAGTCATAGCATAACATTCATGTAGTCTATAATGATATAAATATAATATTCATAAGTAATGCTAAGTTGACCATTATAAAAGGCAGTGCCTCACGCAGTGTAGAAGTATAGAGTTGTCAAGCAACCCCTGCAGCATTCAAAGTTCATTATTATAAACTTCCAATATTAATTTGGTGCATTTGACACTTCTATACACCTGCCAAGTGTGAAGGAAATGAGATTAAAGCTCTTAGAGAAATGTGTCAACGATTGATTTAACGTGAATCGTTTCTCAATGTGATGTTATTGTGTCTGGACCCTTTCATAGGAAAGAGATGGATTGTTCAGCAGGTGTCCCTGTGAGTGAGTCATACAGCCAGGGGAAAGGAGATGAGCTAAATGTGTAACTTAGCCAACTTTGCCTCTGTGTATAAGCCGGCTGTTTGATGTCCCATTTGGTGAATCTCTTCGTGTTGCCATTGATGACAATGGGAGGAAACTCGGTTGCGTTTGTGCGTGTGCATGTTTCCACTGTGTAATGTGTTTCCAGTGACACCCAGGTTGGTGGGCTGTTGTTTTTTCCTCTCATTGTAAGGTGATTCCAAAACCGTCTGCCTCATTGTCCTTTGGCCGCTTGGTGCTCTGGACTCTGAGGATAGCAGCTCTCCAAAACCTCTGAGCTGATAACACAACGTTAATATTCTCCATCTTATTAAGTTCACCATTGTTTACCCAATGGCTTGATCCACCAGTGGAGGGCAGATATCATTTGTTTGAGGTTTATATTCATATAACCCACTCCTCACATGTGTTTTTTTATGGAGTGGAGAGATTTACAGGAACCTCACCCCCATCCCTTTGTCTTATGCCTTGTTTGATCTCATCATTTTGACTTTTTTTGGTTCATCAACAGACCTCTCAAACTAAGGAGGTTCCTGCGATACAATACAAATAGATAAATATTCTTTTGTTTTTTTAAATCTCTATTTAATAGTTGCCATGTCAAAAACGGTAAGCCAGGTTTAGGTTTACGGTCACCTTTTGAATTTGATTGTGGTCTACAATCTTTCAACATTTTCAAGATCTTATAACAATATATGTATTGGAATGAAATGTTGTTGTTTTTTCCATTCACAAGGTTTATTCTAATAATAAATATCTCACTTAATGTTATGTGAGGACTTTGTTTTTCAAAAATAGCTTACATAACAAACATATGTCTTCTAAAGTAAGGTCCACAGTAAACTTGAGGTTGAACCAGATGTTGTCCATGGCTTTAAAATAACATTTTGACGGTTAATTAGCCTAGCTACTGTATGTCCAGAGCCGCTGAGCTTACTTTAAAGGGGACCTGTCTTTTATACATAAATATGTGTCCCCGGTGTGTCGGGGAACTCACGCAGCGTCAGAAAATAAAACCCTCTCTTTTCCTCCGTACCCAAATCCAGATTTGCGTCCGATATGACGTAATATTGGAAATGTAGGCTGGCTTTACACCCACAGCACTATCAGTAACGTTGCTATCAGAAACAATGTCCGACTGTTTTGGACGTAATATGGTTGGTGCATGTTTACATTAGCATCGCTAACACTCAGAGCTAACCTGTACTGCACAGAGCATGTGTGTGAAGAAGCAGGAAATAAAAAGGAACTCACCTTGTGGTATAACCGGCAAGAGAGAAAGCCTTTGAGCTCCAAACTGTTTCAGAGAGAATCCTTCATAATCCATGATATGGCGTTTCATCACGGCAGTATTTAGTTTAGACAGTATCTGCCGGTAGAATCTCCCGCATGAGCTCAGCCCCCTCCTTTTTTTAAAGCTTTATACCCCAAATCAGCACTTTTGAAACAGGAAGTGAAATAGAGGGATATGAGGCATGGCTAGAATGGGTGATCTGTTTGGTGTTTTGAGCAAAACATATATATATTTTTATATATCTGAGACCTATGCTATTGCCTAAAAATAGCATGATAGGTACACTTTCATTCTAAATGATGGTTGGCTGTGACCTCTCCATCTCCGCCCTGCTTCATACCAAAAGTATACAAATGAATGTTATCAGGTTCCTTTTAGCATTTGATTTTAATCTAAAATACTTTGACACCAAATGTTTAGAACTTGTGTTGTTGGTCAACTCCTATGGCTCTTGCATCGTAAAGAGTGAAAACCAACTCCTCCTGCTCAAAAGTAATTAATTTGTTGAAGGGCTGCTAGGCTAATAGCTTATGTGAAAATGAACTAAATGTTTTGGGTTTCTTTTATATAAAAAAATGACAATGGAAAGTAATGTAATCTGTATGGCCTAACAATCACTGCTGACACCGACTAATGCTGCTAGCTTATTACGGGTACAAAACGTTTTACAAGGGCAATATGTGACCAAATATTACTTGGCTTGAAGAAGTGACTTCCTGGCAAAAATGTCATGGCAATAGTCAAAAAGCAGAATTTCCAGCCTTTTGCTACATTTTAAAAGATGTTTCCATCGTCCTTTGTTGGGCTTTGCCATGAGAGGGCTGCTTTAGGCGTTTCACCTCATTATAATGTGGCATTGCCATAAAGTTACGAGACATTTTTACCTTGCATTCCCTCGAATACGTTGTACTCCAAACATGCTGGGTCCCATGTCATCAGAGGCTTTTTTTTTTTAAATGTGTGTTCACCTTGTGTGACTTTGATCCCTGGCTTGTTTTTACAGTCTGTGTTTATTTGCCCATAAAAAGCAAAAAAGTGCAAACGGTATGTTCCTTCTGAGCTCTCATGTTCTTCATTTCTCCATTCACCCATGAAGTAGAAACATAAAGGCTTTGGATAAGGGACCATTTTTAACTCAAAAGAAACATTGTTTAACTTGCATGGATGCTTTTTCTCCATGGTGAATTCCTTTTGTGTCATTCTCACATTGGCATGAGGATGAAGATCTGTTTGGCTTCTACTGTTCAGTCGTAATGATTATCTGGCAAACATTTGAAGGCAGTTTTTCTCAGCTTCCTGTCACTAAATGTATTAAAGTAAAAAAGTGGTTGCGTTTCCATATAGTTTCTTTTGAATCATCCTGAAGGAAAAGGACCAGGGAGTGATGATATTGGCAGATATTTATAGCAAGTACACAGCAGGGTGCTATCTGAATCGGTTGCCTCTGAAACTATTTTCACCACTAGCAGAGGGAAAGATGCTCTACCATCTAAAGCAGCATTCCTCCTCAAATGCCCTTATTTGGTGAACTGCAGTAAACTCGCAGCACCGGGACCAGAGAGAAGGAGAAAGGGAGCCGTAGCCCCTAGAAAACCGCAGAGGAAACGTTAGATATGCCCCAGACCCAGACATTCCACACGGCCTGCAGCAGCAAGCACCAAACTCTGCTGATGCGAACACTGCTCGTGCATCACACAGTTAAACCATTAGAGGAAAGCACATCACCGTTGCATATAAGGCCAATCAAATCAAGATGAAGACAGGAAATGGATAGATAGTTAGAAGGACTGTCATGGAGAAACAGATTTGTCCTAGATGGAAATATAATGAGACCACCCTGAGAGCTTAATGGTGAAAAGGTCAATGACCATGAGAACATGCTGAAGGCGGGAGAGCACCGCTTTGCTCCAG